CGGCGGCTGCGCTCGCAAAATCGCTCTGGTCCCACGCGGTGCAAAAGCCAAAACGCGCGATGTCGTCAACGTGTTAAAGCTAAAGCGAAGTGCTTCACGCATCGTGAGGAATTCCTTCCCCTGCGAAAATTGGTCTTTATTCAGGCGGCAAATGTCGCACCATATCCCCCCCTGCTAGATGAGACTTTCATTTATTAAATATTTATATGACTTTCACCAGCTCATCAGCCCTATAAGTTCGTAAGATTTGGGAGCTGCGACGCTGAGAAGTACAACAGCCCGTATGTAGTGCATTTTCTCGTCAACGAGCAATTTTCGCAATATTGCGGACTTGCTGCGTTCGTACGTCGGGGGCCGTATGCTGAATGTTGGGTAGGGGACGGGGATGGGTGAACGTTGGGGAGGTTCGTCGCAGGACCCTTCTGGGCAGCTGTCGCACCTTTGATTTTGCAGCTTTGTTTTCACCCTTTTACTGTTTCTGATTGTATATTCGCACGTAAATATCTTTCTTCATACCAAAAGCAGCGATGAAAGAATACAAACAGAGCTGCAATATTGAAGGTGCGACAGCTGCCCAGAAGGGTCCTGCGACGAACCTCCCCAACGTTCACCCATCCCCGTCCCCTACCCAACATTCAGCATACGGCCCCGGTGCTAATATCCAATTCTATTTTGTGATCTCCTGTTTTCAGTTGAGAGTACCGTTGCGCATTCTAAACGTAGCGCTTGATTCGTGATTACGATTACTCAGACAATTTTATTTGGGAAGTATTTACCCACAAGTTCGCTGTTTTCTTCTTTTTTTCTTTCCGTCCCACTATTTGTAACGAGCTTTTTGAATTGGCTTTGCATTCCCTTGTTTCTTGCGAATTTGAAGTAGCTGTCACGGTCTTTTTCAAGATCTTCTCATTGATTTCGTGTTTACACCTCGCGGTGAATCATGGAGAAACATAATGTTCACAATTATGGATTGCCATGTAGTAGCGCAAACCGTCGTCGTCAAGACGGGTCCCGTACCGACGGGATGGATACTGCGGGGTAGCAGACCGCGGAGCGTTCGCGTAGCGGTCATGCTGACCCCGCCGGTCGGGAGGATCCCTCCCCATTCCGGTTTTCGTTTCGTAAGTGACCGGTCGTGTCGCAGTTATAAGAGTAGTTAAATGGTGTTCAACGTAAGAGTTAGATTTATGTCGCAGAGAACAGATATTTCGCTACCTTCGTTGCTTTGGTTTTCATTCTAGTTCTTTTGTCCAGTTTCGCCTACATAACGAAGAGTACAGTTGCCATTCTCGTTCATTCATATTGTGCTAGACTAACCTCCATCCAGCAGGCTGGTAATACTGCCTGGAACGCACGAAACTATTTCTGTGATCACAGTGTAAGGGCATCGGACCCACAAGTTCCAGATTTCGCAATAGCGATCACTGGTATCACAGTATCAGTTCTTGATTATTCTTCGTTAGCTGAGTTCCCAGCTGTGGTTAAGCAGCCTGGCGGTATTGTAAAAGGGAGATTACCTAGCGGCTTCCAATTTCTGAGATCTGTTCGTAATCAATCAGAGTGGGAAGTGGGACTCATCCCGTTGCAATCCAGTCATGTGCGTACCAATCGTTAATTCAGGCACTACTTCGGTGTTATGCTTAGCTTGACGCGCATCCTCGGTGCCATCAGGCTCACAGGGAAGGCAGAGAATTAGAAAGTAGCGATATGCGAGGATTGCACAGTCTCATTGGTCCGGCCGATGAAAACTCGCAGAAAGTGGATTGCAAGGATTTCGACATCTTATTGTTCGAGATTGAAAACTCGCCTTCCTCATTTTTCAGCTCTCTCGTGGGTTCCTCTCCTCTTCAACAAGGCTTAATCCTAGGGCGTTCACCCTACTCTAAGTCGTCTGTGCTCTAGCCATCGCAGCAGGACCATTAAGGAAAAATCAAATAGTCCGCAAAACCTCTCTCAGTCTAGGGTTGTCCCGCGCGCGACTCACGCTTCAGTTACATCTTAACGTGTATCAGTCCTCGTAGTTCTTTTCCAACGGGTTATTACCTAGCGCGAGTCACACCATACCTTTGTCTATTTTGGGAGCTTTCACTGCGCGGCAACACAAATTTACTTCAGGTGGACTGGGCCGTTTACGGTTAGCTCCATGAGGCGCTTTACGAAATTTCCCGAAATAGGGTCTCTGAAGCGTTTCGCAGTAAATTTTCATACATTTATCCACAGTGGACGGCCCTGAGCCAGTTTCCGCACAGTTATGCGAAGAATCCGTCTGGATTATCAGAAAAGTTTTAAAGTTATTTGGACCTACATGTGCCGGCCGAGATTTACTGTATTCAGCTAGAATAATGAAGCCGCAGAGTTGCGAAGAATCCGTCAGGATTATCAGTAAGCTTATGAAGTTATTTGGCCTATACGGCCGAGATTTACTGTATTCAGCTAGAATAATGAAGCCGCAGAGTTGCGAAGAATCCGTCAGGATTATCAAGAAAGTCTTGAAGTTATTTGGCCTACTGTGGCCGAGATTTACTGTATTCAGCCAGAATAATGAAGCCGCAGAGTTGCGAAACAATCCGTCAGGATTATCAGGAAACTTATGAAGTTATTTGGCCTATACGGCCGAGATTTACTGTATTCAGCTAGAATAATGAAGCCGCAGAGTTGCGAAGAATCCGTCAGGATTATCAAGAAAGTCTTGAAGTTATTTGGCCTACTGTGGCCGAGATTTACTGTATTCAGCCAGAATAATGAAGCCGCAGAGTTGCGAACAATCCGTCAGGATTATCAGGAAACTTATGAAGTTATTTGGCCTTACTGTGGCCGAGATTTACTGTATTCAGCAGAAAAATGAAGCCGCAGAGTTGCGAAGAATCCGCGAGGATTATCAGGAAACTTATGAAGTTATTTGGCCTATACGGCCGAGATTTACTGTATTCAGCCAGAATAATGGAGCGGAACGTTTTCGCAGTATTTTTCTGAACACACAGGTTGACGGCCGTGAGCCAGTTCCGTAGAGTTGCGAAAAATCCGAGAACATTATCAGGAAAGTTCTGAAGTCATTTGGCGTACCATAGCCAAGATCAGCCGTATTCTACTTGGATAATAATGAAGCGAAGCGTTTCGCAATAATTTTCGAACCATATATATACACCGCTGGCGGCTGTGGGCGAGTTCCGCACAGTCACGTGAAAGATTATCAGGAGAGTCCTTGGGCCATTTGGCGTTGCTGTGGCCGAGATGTATCGCCTGAGATCTAGAGATCTGCATACTAGGGGAGCGAAGTGCTTTGCAATACATCAGGTTGAGGCGTGCTGACATCAGTGACTGCAACATGGGTCATTTCGCACAACAATGCGAAGAATTCGTCAAAATTACCAGAATAGTCCTGAGTTTAAAAAGTGGCCACTATGACTGTCGCTCTTCGCTGTTGTTTTTTTTCTTTTTCATTGTGGTTGTTTTCACGGACCAAAGGTCCAGCCACCAAAAGACGAGGGATGCGTTTTGCTTTGTTTTTCGGGATTAGCCAATTTATTGGTCGGTCTGCTTTTATGCATGACTCGTTCACGTTGCATCGCTCGAAATCAAATTTCACTTACCCTCTCGATGATTTACCCAATCGAGCACTTCGCCGGCGTAGAACTCGGACTATGGTGCCACCAGGAATCCAAAGTGTTGATCCTTCTATCTAGCTTACCAAGCCAACTAGGGCTTATACTCCGGGTCCAACTTGCTTAATTTTCCTTTACCCCCTTTTCTACCCCTCCGCGGGCTTTAACTTTGTTCCGATTATTTGGTTGCGTGTAAACAAAACGGAAGTTTCGTCGTAGAGTATCGGAGATGAAAATGGAGTTTTGTAGTAACGCAACCCGTCGTCGTCAAGACGGGTCCCGTACCGACGGGATGGATACTGCGGGGTAGCAGACCGCGGAGCGTTCGCGTAGCGGTCATGCTGACCCCGCCACTCGGGAGGATCCCTCCCCATTCCGGTTTTCGTTTCGTAAGTGACCCCACCCTCCCACCCTGCGGAGATACGAAGCGGAGAGGTAACCTCTTCACGTCAGCTAGGCCAGCACGGCCTATCCTTTGGAACAGGTACATCTGTGAGGTAGGGGCTGTATCAAATCCGCCCAATAGAACCCACTAGTTCGGCATTTATTCTGGATTTTGGTTCCCGACCGCTCACAGCGGTTTTCCGGCGCCATGATATTTCGCGATACATTGCGACTATCGCGTTCGTTGTTTTCATCAGAAGAAGGGTCTGAAGAAATTATGAGGAACGGAGAGTTTATTCATGGTCCCTCTTGAAACGAGGTGGACAGTTTTTTGGAACCTATCCATTCACAAGGAGGATTAAGCGCTCCATTCTCTCCGTTTCTCCATCGAGGATAACTGTTAACCTTTTTCTCCAATATAGCAGATCAATCGTTGTACTAGAACGGCAATTCTTGTACATGGTACGCCCGAGTCAACGATTTCTAAAAGAATATATTGCCAGCGAGTATGGCTATGGGGTTTCTCCGTGCGGATATCAGACTGTGTTGTTCTGTATAGTGGCGATTTGCCATTGCCCCTCAATTTTACGCGTCAGATCGTTTCCTACTGTTCCGCAGTTCATCAAGAATTTGTTATTCGGTTCGAGTTCATTATTTATGGCTCCACCTTCTCAAGATATAGTATTTCTTGAGCATACATTTCTGGCTACTGCGTTCACCGTTGCTGATTTCATCGATGGATTTCTCCTTGACCTGTTATTTCATGGACAGACATTTTGGACAGTTACGGTCTTAAGACTACTTTGAGTCCTTCCCGGCAAATCTAGTGGAGCGGCGTGCTATCTTTCACGAATTTTCAGCACTCGAATTGACGGCGATGGATCCCAGAAGGCACGACCTTCGTCATCCCGAGGATGTCGTCATCGGCCACCAGCCCAACGTGCTGACTATCTAGTTTTGATTTCAGATCTAGCTCAGAACTTCATCACTCGGTGGACACACTTAAGTCCAAGGATGGGTCCGCATGGGGACGATGACGCGGTAGTAATCGAAATTGCAGACGTCATAGAGTGGAATTCGACAAGCAAGCAGTTGTTGGATGGCGACCTGTGGCAGCCTCAGATGCGATCTATCATAGTTCAGCTTCGTCTTCAGCAAAAGATTACCCATCCACATTGTGATGAATAGGCATGATTAATGTTCAAGTAGTTGTTGAGACCTCGACCAAATGTTAGCGAGCCTGACACATTCATACTCATAATCGTATGTGAGATAGTTCCCGTTGAAGCGCTATCGTATATTGTAGTTTTGACGTGTAGCCCGATATAGGCCATCTAGGTCACAAGGGTGCTCTGATTATCAAACATACTGAATGTAATTGTTATGGTCAGTTATCGACCGCAGTGCGACACGACAGTAAACGATAAACCTTTACCTACCGATTATTTGGTTGCGTGTATACAAAACGGAAGTTTCGTCGTAGAGTATCGGAGATGAAAGTCGGGCATTTATCCCAACAAATGAATACGAGTTGTTTGAATTTAGTCTTTCTTTTCAGTTTGATCGACGAGGATCTGAAACATTTGCAGGGATGTTGTGAGTTTTTGTGGTTTCTCCTACTTTCATTTCATAATTGATTTCGCACATGTTTTTTTATTGAAAATTCATATTCTTCTCGTAGCGCCCTCTGAAACCCTCTTGGTTCACAGATGAGTCTGGTGAAGGAGCGCCTATGTCGAATCCTTGCTCAACGTCTTGTTAGGCCGATGTCAGACTTTGCGAATCGCGCGATTCGCTAGCGTCTGCGGTCGCGTCGCGGCCAGTGAATCACTCAATTGGCTGGTACCGCAACGCGACCGCGGACGCTAGCGAATCGCGCGATTCGCAAAGTCTGACATCGGCCTAAGATTTTTGAGTGAAAACCGAGCTCTTCATTAATGCATCCAATGGATGCGCTGTGGTATCGGAACACAGGCCATCTTAAAAGTAATAGGCTTATCAAAGGTAATAAGGCCGGTGTCAGACGTCAGGTGTCGAATCGCTAGATCGGCAAAGCCTGACACTGGGCTAACCGTTGAAAATCCATTCGTGTTATAGTAGAAGCCCAAAATAAGGGAAAAAGTCGAGGTGGAAAATTACCATGAAGAAAACGACTGATCGGATCAAGCTTGAGATAATCAAAGGAGGTGTCATTAGCACTTACCTGCGCTACTTGGCAGGGGTGGCATTCTTCATTGCACGGGCGACTTACCGGACTAGAGAATATGATTATACCCTTACCTCTCGTGAATTTGGCATGCCCACCAGGTCAAGCCGAGCCGTTGTTGGGAAGAATATTGTTATAACAGTTTTCAATTTGTGGCGAATATTTATTCATTATTTCTACTCTAAGTCCTGCACCGTTCTGCTTTTTTCATTGTTAAGATTGGCTTCTAATATGGCCAGAAATTGAATGATATACACACACTCCACTCGCCAAATTCATTAAAAAGTTCTGTATTTGCAGTGCGCGTTTTCGCAAAAATATCTCGCGTAGCGGTGGATTCGAGAAGCACTGATAAGAACCTGTGTTGCGTCACATAATGAAGAAAGTGTTCTTTTTCAATTCAAGAGTGAAGAATGAATGATATCATCACTTTGAAATTGATTGGAACATCGTATATATAGGAAAGAGTCAGAAATTATGAAACCTAATTTAAATGTTTCATTATGACATCCGAATTGGATCGCGGCCCTTCCCCCACATAGAGTAAAATGTTTCAGGTAATTCTTCTCTCGCTTTCTTATATTTCTTTTTTCTCAGAGGCTCGGCAGCTTATCGCCTGACCGAAGATATCGCCGAGCCAAGCTTTAATATGCGCCTTATCGAAGCAGTCAAACATAGCCGTTGTTTGTACGATTCAACGGATAGACAATACAGGAGCACTGAGTATAAGATAAAGGTACTTGTGATGTTCGAAAAATTGCTTTTACCACCTCATTATTCTAGTGTTTAAGGTCTGGAATCGCCTAGTACAAGTTCTTCAGTTCGATGGCGATTCACGGACGTTATATGCAAGATGGAAACAACTTCGAGACAAGTGATTTTGTTGCTCTTGTTGTCTTCATAATTATTGTTCGCTCGTGTCTCTTTTACATCGCCAAGTTACTCTAGATATGGAAAGGAGAAGCGAAAAGTGAAATATCAAGGAGACCAGTCAAATTGGCAATACTATAAGCATTTATCGTTTCTTGACCCGCATATGATTGATCGCGCAGCTATTGAATCTCCTGCAAGGAAAGAGCATCCTGATGTGGTTTGTGATATTTTGCTTATGCTTATTACTTATGTCTTGATCACGACTATTTTTCCCGTTCCAGCAAGTGACGGTTACGGATCCATCTTTCGGTACGAATTTGATAGAAGAAGTGCGTGCACATCCCTGCCTGTTCGACATACGTGATCCGAAATATAGACATTCTGAATGTCGTAACCAAGCCTGGAACAGTGTTATAGCTCACTTGAATTATCCTGGTTTGTTTTTTTAAGAGTTTCATTTGCTTCATTGATTTTCTTGGCGTTTCACCGATCAAAAATTGCTCCAGGGGATGTTAATTCGATATACAAACAGTGGAAGAAAATCAGAGACAGATATGTCCGAGAAAAGAGGAGGCTACGTATGCAAAGGGACAACGGTGTACATGATGACAGTACATGGGATCTATATCCTGCCATGGCATGGATTGACCCTTACCTGGATGAAAGGGCTCAGTACGTACACAGTATGCTCATTGCTCTACCATTTTAGTTATTTCTTGATGCTTTAGGCTATTGAGACATGTGAAAAGGAAGCATGATGAC